AAAATGTTCTTCAAGGCAAACAAAAAGAAAAAAATGTATTGTCTATATGATGTGGTTAATACATTTTTTTACATGCCACATCATATAGATCTANTCATTAAACTTGGTACTTTTTTTATTTGCATTAAGGGCATCTTTAATAGTAGAGGTTTTGGATGAGGTTTAGAAATACAAACCTCCCAGCTTTTCCATTAAATGAAGAAGGTTTGAGGTTTATGAAAAGGCCACAAGTTTTAGTTTACAAATCTTTCCTAAACCTGTAAAGTAAAATACAAAAACATAAAACTAATATTCTCTTATGAGCGCGTGTAGTGGACATAATAAAATTAAAGCCTTATTTTCATGATTGAAACACACGCCTAGGTGCAAAACGTGTGGTGTGTGATGGCCCACATGCCAAAAGTTTGATAAATTACTTTTTTTCTTTTCTTTTTGCATTTTAATATTTTTAAGTTTTAGGAGATTTATTGTTATTGGAGATTTATGTTTGTAGGAGTGAGAAAGAGATTTTGGATGATGTGGCATATTAAAAAGTGTGAAAAGAGGTTTATGAAGGAAGGCTGTTAAAGTTGCTCTTTTTTCATTTTGTCCATTTTGAGACGTCGGCTTTCCATAAAAAACTTTATTTAATTAATATTTCATATTATTTGGTTCCGCTTTATTTTTTTTCTTAGCACGAAACAAATCTACTTCCATCCATTTATATTGAAAAACTACATTAATGCCATTTGTTACATCACATTTAAATTCATTTATACACAAAACTCTGAATGCTATAAGCAATAAAGAAAGTGGTGTGTTGAATTTTTTATACGTTTATAGTTTACTGTGTAAAATTAGAATTTGTATACTCCAGCTAAGCCTTTATTTATGCCATTTATGGGAGTTTTTATATGCGCCGGTCTACTCTCTCTCTACTGCCCCCCAATCACCTTCTCTTTAACCTTTTTCCCGTTTTATAGGTCGTTCTACTAATTCTTTTCATCTGTTTCCAGAATTCATAATTATTATGTCGTGAGCACGGTATAGATAATTGTTGATATCGGGGGATTATTGCAAATCTCATTTAATGCGAAATAATTGATATAGAAATAGAATGTGCCGTTGTATAACAGAATAACAATATTGATGAATGTGTATAGCATAGTAAATTGTGTAAATTAAAGTATACGTACCAACAAATGGTAGTTATTTGTTATCACAATAAAAACTTCGTTAATGAATACAAACATTTTTCATACTCCATTAAATTGTCATAATTTATAATATAATTTTATTATAAAGTTATGGATTAATGATTATACAGACTAAAATCGATATATATGTGCACTATCCATTTGTCAATACACAACCACCTTTATATATGTCGTGTACTCCTGTGTTTCAACAAATTAATGTACTTATAATAATTATTTAAAAACCACTTTTTACCGCCAAATCGGGTTACTATAATTATGGCATGGCATTATACTCCCTCCTTTTTATAATAAGTGTCGTTTTGAGAAGTTGCACGGGAGTTAAGAATATTTTTTTTGTTAATAATAACCCTCATTAATGAGGATAGAGATGGATGTTTTGATAAAAGATAAAGAGTGAATATGAAAAGACAAGAGTAATAATGGAAAAATATGTAAAAAGATTCAAAACGTCATTTATTTGATTAATTGCNCTAGAATAGATAGAAAAAAATTAGAAAAAAAAAGCTAACACCATGCACTATGTTTTTGGTATAATTTTACTTAGTTATCATGGTATTAATAATTTAAATTGAATAATGTGAAGAAATACAAGAAACAATAGATCGAACTTATTCGAATGCAAATATTTTGAAGTTGGGTCTTAATATTGTGTACTAAACATAAATGAGAAACATTATAAAAAATTCAAAGTAATAACTTTTATGTTGGATTATTGGGTCCAGATCATGTTTCAAATTTTGCTAAATGGAGTCAAGTTTATTTGTGTACATGCATGTCACATTAGCTAGAGTTAGTTTTGTTTTCTTTATATTAAAGAGCGGGTTTTCACCAAATGTCTAAAATTCGCCATTGGCACTAGATACTTTTGCAATTAATAAAATAAAATAGAAAAAGTATAGTGCTATTAACACAAAATATAAGCGGAAATAACAATTAACAAATTTGTCTTTAAAGAGCATCCCACTACACCTCTGAAGTGGCACCAAAGACTTTGGTTTAGGTGGAACCAGTTAAAAAAGGCCTCCAATCGTCCCGGAGCTGTTGATGGCCTGCAAAAACAAGTGTCGGGGTGGATTCCCAGCATGAGCACTCTGGCGCCCAAATTAGTACAAGGGAAATAGATGATAATATGTGCGATGTATATGTAGGAAAAGTAGACGACGACGATGACAACAACAACAACAACAACTTACAGTTGTACTTCATCCTCTATTATAGGAGGACAAAACTTCTATAGAGCCATCGGATGATTTTCTTATGGAGTCATTCATCACTTAATGTATTGACACTCAAAGTGTATTTATTGTAGGACACGTGTCAATACATTATTTTTGAATAACTGTGGATGACTCCATAAGCCGAGCCATCCGATGGCTCCATAGCAAAACTGTATAGGAGAATACCTACTCGAGATATCTACCCGAGTTGCCCAACTGCCCGCAGTAAGCCTGCCCAACTGCCTGAGGTTGGATATTATCTTCTCAGTGTTCATCCTTATCCTAATCTCATCATAGTCATCATTAGATTCATTCTTATCTCAATTAGATTTCGTCTTATTTCATGTAAGTCTGTTTATTCAGGTCTTTCATAACTATTAGGTCGTCTCGATCGTAACCGCTCAGGCCGTCTTACTGAGATGACTATCTTCATGGACTTGGGTCGTCTTGCCTTTGTTCAGGTCATCCAACCCCTCAGGACATCCAAATCCTCAGGTCGTCCAACGGTGGTCTTTTATTCTTCCTCATTTCATTTTTATCGCCATGATTCCAATTTGGTAGTTTGGTCGTCCGGTCGACCTACCCATACTTAGTTTTATTTCAGTTTACCCAGCTAGGGGTATATCACCCTCTTAGTGCTCTTTAATTAGCAAATCAGTTGTCTTCCGCAGTATATAGTTTAGAATGACAAGTAAATTATTCTCTCATAAACCTACCACAACTATACACAATCCTACTAACTACTTCCATGGCCACAACGTAGACTAACAACTATTACAGGAATCTTTCTAGCTGCTATAATACTCAAAAGCACAAAGGTCTCATGCTTCAGTCTTTCAAAGATATAGGAACACAAAACTGAAATCCTGAATTCATAAGCTATAAAATAGATTCAACATATTCACGAACTCTCAGATAATAGAATAACTCATTATTCTTTTTGAATTTCGTGATATAATATACATTGACAAAAAACGAATCATAACTAAGTAAGAGCGCCTTCGATTGATGTGATTTTTAGCATCCTTTCTATAGATTAAGTTTTTTTTTAAGTAGATTTCCACTGCATTGACACACCCTGTGTCTTGTGATGTATAAGTCATTAATTTTTTATGCCATTGTACTTGTTTTTGTATTTTTATTAATCTTTTTAATTTTTCTTTCAAGATTGTCCACGTTTTGTAATAAAATTTTGAACCGATAGTTTCACTTAATATGCTATACCTTATTATATTCCTTTTTGTATTTTCTATTTCCCATGCTATACCTTTTAGTCTTTGTGTATCTGAAAAACTTGTTTTTCTTTTAGAGATTTTTTAAGGTTTGCTCTTATATACTCATTTCTTTGCAGACATTTATATTATTGTTTTAGGTGGTCCTATTTTATATAATTTCTTAAAATTTTGCTTATACCTTTGTATATCATAATCTAGTTGTTTTAATTTTTGTTCATCTTTTTCTATATATTTATATTGAATTAACTTTTCTATTAAATAATCTACTTCCTTCATTTTTGCTTTATTATATTAACACATCTTTTGCACTGTTACGGACTAAATATCAGGGAGTAGGCGAGGGAGTGAGCACATGGCGGGGGAAGGAGCATTTTCCAATTAAGTTTTCAAAATCCTGCAGGAATATGACTTTCTTAAAATAAACAATCTTCAAAATCTAAAAGATCTTGCGTTTCAACGTTCAAGAGAGATAAAATAAATTGTGGTATAAAATTCACTCATTAGTGCAAGTAACATATATTGTATAAAATATATATTATGTAATACTTTGTTCTAAGATTAGGACTCTATAATACATACTATAAAAAATATATAATATATATTATTAATAATAATAAATACTAGAAATTTAATTAACTTACAAGTAAATAAATATAAGAACCCCTTTAATTTATTGTGTCTGTCTAACAAAAAAATATTCTAAAACATACTTAGATTTGTCGGACGATGCCAAATTAATATTTCAAACACAAATAAACTCAAGCATTACATATACTTTAGGGAAGTGAAATATTTTTAGGATTATGAATATAAGATAAAAATATATTGACTAGAGTTAATATTAATATAAAATAACTAAATTAATTACCAATGATTTAAAGTGAGATTGTGAAGAAATTGAATAAAAAGTACTTTTTCTATTTTGTTTTTATTTATATTCACATTTGTAACGAAATAAATCAAACTTAAAACAACAGAATTAAGATAATTCAGACTTACACTGGTGAAGAAAATAAATAGGAAATTTAAAAAAA